GCCCCTTAGGCCCCGGGGCCGCTCCCTGGCCGAAGCGCTGCCCCGGGGCGATGGACGCGGCCCGCGCTGCCCCTTCGTGCCCTCGGGGCGAGGAGCTCCCTTCCGTCGGGCTCTGGGCAGAGGCCGCCCGAGCCGGGGCGCACAACAGGCTGGGCTGGCCCCTGCACGGCAAGATGGAGATGTCGCTGCCAGGCACACGGAGTGCAGTGAACTTGTGCCCGGCCGGGGTGGGACCGCGCCTGGCACGGCCGGACAAACCAATATAAGTGTCAGTGCAAGACGCAACTTTTTGAAACTTTGATCGTTTTATTTATGAGTTCAGAGTCACAGCAAAGAAAAGCGAGACAAAGAATTTTTTCACTTTCAGTTTTTAGGAAGGTACAGCATGCCAAAAACCCCTTATAAGGGTGCTCGGAACCCCATTATCTCATCATAAGGATGGCTTTCCAGGGGAGCCTGAAATGCTAGTTGAGTCGAGTAGAACATGTTAAACCATAGACTATTTTTGAATTGTTTATGCTAGAACAAGGATCTTCGTATATTTAATAAAGCTATCTTCAAGATCTTGTTTATGTTTTACCCTTCATACTTAGAAGTTTAACATGGAAATTAAAACATCCAAATCCATTCTCATTCTTACAGTGTTCATCTTCTTGCTTTTAAGAAACGAAACTACAATGAAATCATTGCATAAAATCTATATAAGCAGCATTGCAGCATCATTTAGTAGTATTCTTTATACTTTTCAATGTAAAAACCACATCCTCGGTAAGGACTGCTCAGTGAATTCTAATGCCAGCTTTTATTATAACTAGGTTTCTCAAGCTGCAGCTGACTTGAAGCAATTCTGCCTGCAGAATGCACAACATGATCCCCTACTGACGGGAGTATCGTCAAGTACAAATCCATTCAGACCCCAGAAAGTTTGTTCGTTTTTGTAATTATGTGAACTACTTCAGTATCCTTCAGTGGTAAGTTCTTGAATTACAATTCATAAACTCTTTTGTCATTTAAATGAGGCAGGCTGTGTGAAAGGCACTCAGAAACATCTGACTTGTACAGCTGGTGTTGGTCCAGATCCCCGTTTTTGGTCCCTTCTCTGGTCACAGCTCTGCATGGGACTTGTGCTGGCCATAGGTATTATGAGTAGCACTTTGCTGTTGCAGAGCTTCCACCAGTTTCTGTAGCTGTAGCAAAGTAGTGGGGCCAGCTACTCCTGAGCTGCTATTTAGCAGCCAGACTAACCCAGCTGAACAGTAATTGTGCTGTATCTTCTTCTCTGTAAGGGTATTATTTCCCTTTTCTCACATAGAATTAATTGCCTGACAGCAATTAATATGTGCTGAATCCTGACTGTGGCAGATAAATTAGCCTTCTCTTCTTAAAGAAGAGTTCCATAAACAGATTAGTGGTGGTGGTCCCCAAGAAGAGCATTGACCACTGTGGGGGGAAGATGCCCTCTCTGCCAAAAGAAAGAAGTATATACTTTTAAAAAGATATGTACTTTTAAAAGCCCATACTCCACTCAAGTAAGCTACTATGGGGGTAGCAGTTTAAATAACTATAAACAGTGAAATACTCATTTGGATTTTCATTCCAAAACTTTCATAGGTTCATTAGCATTACTGCTATCACCAAGAAGACTACTCACTCATCTGGCATTTTGGTGATTAGATTTTAGGCTAACCTCTTTAGAAAGGTGAGTTTTAGATCCACTATAGTTTCACCAAAACTCACAAAGTCACCATAACTTGGTTATTTTGACCACAGGAAACACATGATTATTTTACCATATTCCCTTTTCCTGTTGCCCCTTGACTTGGATCTGTTGGAGATGAGAGCACAGGCGTTATTTCGAAGCATCTGATGCACAGTTAACTGTAATTCACAATCCTTAGAAATCTCATAGTAAGTCTTGACCTTTAAAAATTCTGGTTGTGTAGCTGACTTACATCATCTAAAAAACTGTAGTTTGCTAGATTTAAATTGTGCTGTTAGGCAGCTTTATAGAAAGATGACTGCAGTCAGACTGAATTGTTAAAATTGTTCTCTCCTCACGCAGACTGTAGAAATGTTCCAGATGTGTGTACTAGAAGAATAACCACGTTTAAAGACCAGAGTAGTAATAGTATAGAAGTTGATCCTTAACTATTTAACAAGCAAAAACACTGTCCACCTTGTTTTGAGCAGTGAATTACAACAGTATAACTGAAATGTGCTTTAGAGTTCTTGCAGCTTTTAAGGTTACTTCTATTGTGAGTTTTTGCCAACTACTGTTATTTAAAAACTACTCTTCGATAATACATTAGTGTAGCTTCAGCTTAAGCACTAATCCAAGGAAGAAATCAGATCATATGTAAGCATTATACACTGCTTACTTCTACAAAGCCAAATAAACTCTACTTAATCAGTGACACATACAATTCCTCGTGGAGGTTTGCTAAGGTAAAGTAATTCCAGGATTCCTGGGTGTGCATGTAGGGAAACAGTGTTTCCTCTGTCTCACACACCACCTGTATGCATAGGGTGTAAAAGGCTTAATATTTTCTTTCTCAGTTACAGCCTTTGGAAAGGACCTCTTGTTTCTGTTTTAGTTACATTACTTATAGGTGAAACTCCTTCACTTTGAAAAGGGGTGATTCCTTCTGTTTTCTTGATGAGCCAATAGTGTTCGTGTTTGCAGTCAGCACCACCTCACTGAAGAGGAAGTGTAATTTGTTAGTTACACAACAAATTCCTTGCTTTTCAAAACCAAATGGAAACCTGGTGTTTTGGGGAGCACAAAGTGACTGGGAACAGCTTCTATCGTTCCACTTAGTTTCTTTTCCAGGAGACACTAAGCTTCAGTTCTTTTGTAAGAGCTTTGATTACCTTGTTTTATCTTTGGGGATGGCTTCATTAAGAATTTAGTTTTTAAACTAGTATTTTATAAAACAGCTGTGAAAAAGAGGATATTTTTTTCCTAAATAGTAGTCCATGGCATACTCTGAAATGTGTTCTTAAGAGTTGTTTCATTTAGCAGTGATGCCTTTCTAATTAGATCTTGGTTTTGTTTTTCAGATCTTCTAGCATCTTTTCCTACCTGCTGATGTGTGTATGGGCAGAATGCCTCAACGAGTGGCCTGGTTTGAAGTCTGTACAAAAGCTTAGCTTTAACGTGCCAAATCTAACTTTCTAAAAGTGCTACTGTCGTCAAACTTCTTACCATCTACCTCTCCAGATGAACTGTATGCTAGTTACGTGTTTCTGTTTCATACGGGAATCGGTTTTATATGCCAAGCAAAAAATAAAAGTGTCTTGACTTAGTCTGGGCTTTAAATTACTGTAAGAATTTGATTAACTGCTGGGTATGGTGGCACCTCAGTCACTGCATCGTGGTGTAGGCAGCTGGAGAGCAGAGAGAGAAGTGTAAATATTCTCTGCTGCTGCAAGTCTGCCTGCGGTTAACAGTCCTTCAGAACAATGAGACTCCATGCAGTACCATACTTAGAAGCATAACAGAAATAGAACACAAAAAAATTTTGGACTGTTTGTAATTCAGCTATACAGCTGTGCCATATCATAAACATCACATTAAGACAGAGTAAATTATTCTTTATCTTAATGAGTAATTCTACCCTAGGAGATAACTTACTCTTATGCACCTTCTTATTCATTAGGTAAATATGAAAAAGCACTTACAGCTGTATATGAAAAGAAAGTAGCTCAGAGAAAACTTGACCTTTTAGCTGCCAGTCAATGTGCAACTTAAGGCAAAACAGTAGTTTATGTACAGATAATACCAACTCGAGTGTTGCTGTGAGGCTAAAGAAGCATTTTTAAAATTTTACTGGGGAAAACCCTGCTCAGACTTCACAGTCACTGAGCAGCATTTTTAGATGACAGCTTTATGTATTGCCTGTAAGGGTGTTTTATGATTCTTTCCCATCTGTCTTTGTTTCCTTTCAACTGCTTTGGGTATGTAGACCTCTTATCAATGTGGTATTTACAGAAGAGATACCTGTAGGAGTTATGCATTGCTTTTGTAACTTCAGCAACATGCCTACTTTATGCAAAATGCTAATTAAATAAAATACCATGGATTTCATGGATTGCATACTGCCTTCTCCATGTTCTCTGGATAGGAGAACCTTTTTGGAAAACTATTCCCATACTGTCAGGAAACAGCATACTGTAAGTTAGAAAAAAGTTTAAAGTGTTTATCTCTTACCTGATTGAAGATGTCTGGGCTAACAGAAAAAATAAAACCAAACTGTAAAACTAGAAATACTTTATTTTGAAAATTTCTTTAACCAACATATTTGCTGTCTTTGTTGTGAGGCATAATCTGTTTCTGCAGCACAGCAGCAGTTCTGGCAAATCCTTTGTGATAGCTAAATGACAAGTTGCTCAAACATGGCCATAATTTTTCCTGGTAAACTGGAAAAGGTCACTGTCCTTGTCATGTTGGCTACAAACAGGAAGAAAGGCACATCCTACTTGATTGCTGCTGAAGAAAGTTCTAATGTTTGCTGTTTGTCTTTCTGCAGACAGAACATTCAGTATCATTTTCATTAGTTAGGAGTCCAAGATCATCCATAGTTCAAAGCAGCTGCTGTATTCCTGGTCACCAGCAATTGGCAGATTTCACTTATAAGTGGAATTTTCTTCTATTTGTGTCCATTTCTCGACGCTGAAATTTAAAAGAAAAGTTGTTTATCAGCAAGTTCATGCAACAGGATGAAACACAAACAAGCAAGGATGACCACTCCATTTTATAGCAGAGTGAACAGTGAAAGAGTTATGGTACAGTAGTTGCAAATAAGTAGTAGTATGGTATATTGACAATCATCATCCTTGCTATTTTTGACTTGAAATACAGCAGAATGTTTCTGCTTTGCATATTTCTCAAAATTTACCTCTAAATACTTCAGTTAAACACTTGCACACTGAGAACTGCATTTATACCACTTTTCTAGGGTAAGATTTTAATTCAAATTTTCATTTTGTGTCTGATTTAGCACTCCAAGCAGGACTGTTATCAGTACTAAGAATACCTTATGAATCCACTCATATTCTCCAAATTTGGAATCAAAGGTTCCTTTTTGAAGTGACCTCAGCTTTAATGTAAAACGTGGTCCAAGTTCTTGAATCCCCACTTTCTTTTCACTCTTGAAGATATATCTTGGGGAAGAGAAGAATTAAAATTAGGAATTAAGCTACAAGAGTATTCTCTCGCACTTGTAAATGAGTTTTGTGGAAAACATCACCTGTGGAATCTGAAAAAGATGTAGTCCCTCTGGTTATGAAATGTAGCTACTTGTCTTCCAATGAACTGAGGATCGTGTGGGAAGAGAGCAGCAAACATGCGGCCAATGGAATGGCCAAGCCGCGTTGTGAAGTTATTCAGGATCACTTCAGGGACGTGTTCTGTGGGCTCCTTCCCTTTTCGCTGGAATGAAGGTAATGAGAATGCAAAGAACAGATTGAATGCAAAAGGATTTTAACGTATTATCAAGGAAGTGTTTGAAATAGGAATATGGGCAAAAACATGCCCTAACAATTTTTTCAAACACAACCTAAGTTCATAAGGAGCAGCTAGTAATGTAAGCATCTTTGGTTCAACAATACAGCAAATAAGCTCGAAAATGGAAATATGGTGCTTATGAAGTAGAATACACTTCCTTTTAGCTTACCAAAAAACTGCATTTACCAGATCAAGCTGAATTATATCAAACTGCAGTTTTGACAGTTCAGGTAGACTGGCTGTATTTATCATTAACCAACAGATAACCCAGTCTTCAAATTTGTTTGGAGTCTCACCTTTATTTCTTTACGCAAACGCACACTACTCATTCTAAAATGAGCAGTTGGACCATCAGGCAGATGACTTAAAACAAGACCATCTGTGCACCAAGTTAAAAAAAAAAGGCTGGTAAAATTGAGCATGTAATTTACAGAGGAACATTCTATGCAAAATGCAGTATTACATTAGAAGTTTAGATCTATAATCTAAGCCCAAGGTTTTGTTTTATGTTCAAACATACATTCCCAAGCTCGTTAACTAGCTTTCTGAAGGATGTCCATTACATTTTGTTTCAACTGCTAACAAGGGTTATCCTCTATTGCTTTCTCATTCAACAAATTTGTGATGTTTTATCTAGCCAGAAAAACAGAATGGATCTCCCTGGTCAGAAAAACTTGTTAATTAATCAAACTGTTACATTTACTAAAATAGTAACGGTGCTTATTCATGCAGTACAAACAAAAAAGTGCCAACATATCTACACACTTTCTTTAGTAATTCCAAGTTCCATTAGCCATCAGACACTCAAGTCAGCACAGTGATTTTTTAGCTCTGTAATTTGCATTGTGAAGAGGAAGAAAACAGAATAAAGTAGATCTCTGATGCACATGAGAGAATTGTTTCCTTTCCCTGATAAACACACAAAAGGATACTTGGTATTTTGCGATCTTCATTAATGACAATTAAATCCGTGAAGTCCCTCGCAATGCACTGTGGAATGATTCTTTTCAAAGCCAGTCCTCTTCGATAGTAGACATGTGAGTTGGGTATAACAGTAGCCAGCTGCTCACAGAATCTCACTGTTCTCTGCAAAACGGGGAAGTTAAATTGCAATGTGGGCAATTCCCACTGAATTCAGTTATTAGGAGAACACAGGGTTGGTTCCAACTACACTCTCTGAGCATATATTACTTCCAGTATCTATAAAGTTTTGATAATAAGCTATTAAATTATTTTATTAAATTATTTTGTTCAGCTAGTGCAAAAACATCTTATTTGCAGTCAAGACTGTACACACATGAGATTTTTTAAACTTTTTTTTCTCCTCCCTCCATCACAGAAAAGCAGGGAAATGCAAAAAGCGTAATCTCCACATTCATCATTTATAAAGGGCACTGGTTTACAAAAATTTCACAGCATCTCAAGATGCAATATAACTGTTTCTTCATGAACTCAGTTTTTAGATAAACCATCTGAAGTGTATTTTTTCTTATTTTTAAAGCAATTTCTTTTACGCTTTTCACAAGTGTCAGTAATCTCTCCAATCAGGCAATGCTAATCATTTCAATACAAGAACACATGCACAAGGTTGTTTTTTTTTTTTTTATATGAAGGAAACAAACAGTGCTAGAGAGACCAACAGATTACATACAAGAATATTGCTGGGCACTAAATAAAATGACAGAAAGAATCCATGTGAATGCTATCATTTTCAGTTTTAATGTAACAATCATAGGATGAAAGCCCCAGTATCTTATAACCAGTCAGTTGCTCAGAATTTTCCAAGGAAAACATACGTACCCCACGAGGTCGGTCTGACGTTGTAATAAGAATTTTGGGAACTGTCTGTCTATTAAAGTATGGTGCAAATTCATCAGTTGCTTCATCAAAAGCAACCTGGAAGAACAGAAGTTTTGTTAAATCCACCATGTATTAAGTAAGTGAGGAACAATTGTTCAATCTGATCTAAATTTCAATTCACAAGATCTATTCTGTTATTAATCACCCCAAAGGCGTGTGGTTCGGATGTTTTTCAGGATCTAGTGTGATGAACATGGGCAGCTTTTACTACCAATATCAGTAATGCAAAAGGCAATTATTTAATACACATAATAAAAGAATGACATCACCTCTTAGTAAACCCATCAAGTGTAAAAAGTAATTCATCAGAAGATTAAGAGGAAAGTGGTGAATGTTCAGTTTCGTTGATCAGTTTATGTCCCTTCTTAGAAAAAAAAAGGTTAACTTAATCACACATGCAGAAACAAAAGCAGTTACCTCTTCATCATTGGGATCTACAGTGGTTTCATCATACACTCGCTGATTTTCAATAGTCTTTGGTATGGCTTTTGGAGGTGCCTAAAATACATTTATTAATACATTCATGTCATTATTAAATGCATTGCAAATACCACATTCATACTAGCACGATATTGTGTATATTTCTACACAGAATTGGAAGTATTATTTATTTGATGCAACTTTTAAAGAAGGAGTTACATAACCCTGATTAAAAATATGCACAGGCAGAGAAGTACCACTAGAACAAGTGTCACTTTTTAAAACAAAACAAATACAGAGGGGAACTTTCTTTACACTTTTATTTCTTCAATGGAAGAAAAAGTTCCTGCTTTCAACAGCAATACTTTTTAACCTTGATATCTAGAATGTAATGACTAATAGCATTTAACGTTTACCCTGTTAACTTACACTACTCTTGTGAACCTATTGTAATATAGGAACTCTCTGACTACCTTCAATCAGTCCAGGGAAGGAAACAAAACCTTTGTTCGTTACTAGGCTTGGAATCCAGCAGATAACTGGTCTGGGCGTGGTTTGGTCAGATCTGATTGTCTGAAGCTATACGGAAATTACTATTAGAGTATAATTCCTAATAATATCAAGACAAATGCCACCACAATCACATCAGAGACAACTTTTCAGGAGTGGTTTCATGTCATTCGTTTAAAACTCACCCTGCCTATTTAAGCATCATTTAACACAGGAGCAACAATGTTTCTGAGGTCAGGTGTTTGATACCTCTGCTAGACAACAGTGTCTCTGAAGGCTACCACAGCCTGTGAGCACAGAGAGCACACCATCACATAATGGTTTGGCTGGAAGGGACCTTTAAAAGCAATCTATTCCAACCCCTGTGCAGTAAGCAAGGCCATCTTCGACCACATCATGTTGCTCTGAGCCCCTCCAACCTGTCCTTGAACGTTTCCAGGCATGGGGAATCTACCACCTCTCTAGGCAGCCTGTTGCAGTGTTTTATCATCCTCAGCGGATTCACTGCTCCGCTTCTCTGAAGTCTGTGGAAAAACCCTTTGGCTGACCAAGGTGAGGAGCCCCAGCTCCGGGCAGAGCTGCAGGACTCTCACCCTGGCGAGCTGTGCCCCGTTCGCGGCGGGGCAGGAGCGGCCTCGCCGCCACACCGGCTACCGCGGCCGGAGCCCTTACTTTGTCTCCGAGGGCCTCTCGTTCCTTCTTCCGCTTCTTCTTCAGCGCCAACTTCTCCTGCGGGCAGAGGGACAGCGCTCCGTTANGCCGCGGGGCGGGGCCGACCCCTCACCCCTGGCCTCTGCCCGCAGGGCGGGGCCGCGCATGCGCAGCGCGGGGCTGAGGGGCCGCTCCGGGCCGGCGAGGACGGCCATTCTCCTCAGAGGCGGGGAGGGCTGCGTGTTGGAGCTCGTGGGTCTCACCATGTGCCTGAGAGCGTTGTCCAAACATTTCTTGAACTCTTGTCAGGCTGGTGCTGTTCCAGTGCCCAGCCACCCTCTGGGTGAAGAAACTGCTGATATCCAACCTAAACCTCCCAACTCAGCTTCAGGCCGTTCCCTCCGGTCCTGTCACTGTCACCACAGAGCAGAGATCAGTGCCTGCTGCTCCTCTTCCCCTCCCGAGGAAGTTGTGACTGCAGTGAGCTCTGCCCTCAGTCTCCTCCAGACTGAACAGACCCAGGGCCCTCAGCTGCTCCTCACACAGCTTCCCCTCAAGGCCTTTGACCACCTTTGTTGCCCTTCTTTGAACACTCTCTAACAGTTTAATGTCTTTCTTACATTGCGGTGCCCAAAACTGCACACAATACTCAAGGTTGAGCCTGCTCCAGCGCAGAGCACAGTCACCTCTCAACCCACGACATGTTCGGGCTCATTGCTCAGCAGACAGAACCGGGAGATAAGATCAGTGTATCTGATAGGGATTATTGCTGCAGTGTCATTTTTAAACCGAGTTAGCTGTCAGAGTGGGAAGCTTTGCATGACACATTGATGGGTTTACGTTAATGCAGGTAGCATCATGGCCCAACAGTGCCTGCCCATGTGAGCACTTTAACATTTAGACTATTGCTCACAGTGACTTAAGTGTTGGGGAGCATCTGCTACTTAGAAACCATAGGGGTTTTGATGGTAATGTTCCCAAAAGTTATTTTTATTCCATTAAAGTCTGTTAAAACTTGATGTTGAAATGAAACAAGAACTCCTACAGCAAATTAGAGATTCAATTTACAAAAAATCAGAAATGAGGTTTTCTATTCCTGAGCTAATTTTCATGCTTAGGGGTGTGCAAATGTTTCTGCACAGCAAAGACTACACAGTGTTTTATAGAAATTGAGTACTCAGGGATTTGGGGGACCTGGTCTAAACTGAAGGCATTTTAAATCTCAGACTGCAAAATTCTGAACCTCAGTGGAACTGATTAGTTCCATTTGTCCCAAGCATTTTTTAAAGCTTGATGTCTACTCATTTTATATACAAATAGTATTTTTCCTTACTATGTTTCTCTCACTAGGAAAGGGAAAAAGAAATCTGTTAACATAAATATAATGGGAAAAATACCTAGAAATAATCAGAACTAGAGAATGAAACCTTGTTCTGTCCTAAAAACAAATTTTGTTCTGCAACTCAGCTTGCTTCATTGAGATTATTCTGCTTAATACAAATGTAAATGAAAGATCAAAGGCCTCATTATGCACAATCCCATATATTTCTGGCCTCACTCCCATTTTTGTCAGGAGAAAATATTTCAGCTATCCTTACTGCCTTAAGGATAAGTAGTTTCCATGGTAATTGAGGTTTAGAGGATTTTGTTGAGAATATGTTAACCAAGGACTTGCTGTAACTTTATTGCTCTAGCTGATGCAGATGTCAGAGATTGCAAGGTTATTTCTCAAGTCATTAGCAGATATTTTCATCACTGCTATTAGCAGAGCATACAGGTAGTTCTGTGTCGTTTGTAGTTTCAATTTGCAGTGTTGTTTTTGTTTGGATCACTGAGTGCTCACATGAGGAAAAAACACATTATCTTTTTCCCTCCTAGCGAAAGAGATGACAACCTCCTAATATTATTCAAATACCTGTCTTCCAACGACTCACAGGAACAAAATAATGATACACAATAATAGCAAAACTTCCTAGGGCAGGGGAGGGACAACAAAAAGACACCAGAAACACACTGAGGATTTGGTAGAGATCACTGACAAGGTACAATTATAACTTTAATTGAAGGCCCAACTAATAAATGCATGCATAATATTACTTTAGTTCTTTCATAGAAGTTCCAAGGTATTTTTCTTGTTTCATCTATGAACTCTATTCTGTGCAAATAACATTTTTACCAGGGGAGTCTTATTTTACAATTTTTGTGGGATTGTCAAGAAACCATCTTTTGGAAGAAGCTGCTTGGTTGAAAACAAAGCAACTGAAAAAAACCAGTAAAACCCAAACAACATCCCCCCCCCACACACACACAAAAAAAACCCCTCAACAAGCAAATTCTCCTGTGAATAGTGATGAAAGAAGACATTAATTTCAAGTCAGCACTTAGAAATTTTGGAGGAAAACTTTCTGTAAATAAACCCAGCTCAGTAGTGAAGCATCATTTTGAATGCTCAGTAGAGCACTGTTGTGTTTATTTTTCTGTTCTGTCATTTCAAACAATTGAGAAAATATTTTGCGATTAAGTTGAAAGAACAAAATTCATCTGGTGAAAGGAAATTGAATAAGAAAATACAGAAAGAGGTGAGAAAAGAGGGTAAGGTATCTCTGGATTCAATAATTTATTAGAGAACTGTTCTGGGGTTGTGGGGTTTTCTTGATTTTCCTTTTTGTTGTTTTTTGTTTGGTTGTTTGCTTGGTTTGGGTTTTGTTTGTTTTTTATTTCATTACCTGCAGGTTGAGAGCACATATGATGTGTCTTCAACATTCCTTACACTGAACAAAATGCCTCAGAAAATGCAGTGCTCCAAACCAAACAAGCCACTGTCTATGTTGGAAGAGAGCTATGCCCTACCATTCCTTTCCTTTCCTTTCCTTTCCTTTCCTTTCCTTTCCTTTCCTTTCCTTTCCTTTCCTTTCCTTTCCTTTCCTTTCCTTTCCTCTTTCCTTTCCTCTTTCCTTTCCTCTTTCCTTTCCTCTTTCCTCTTTCCTTTCCTCTTTCCTTTCCTCTTTCCTTTCCTCTTTCCTTTCCTCTTTCCTCTTTCCTTTCCTCTTTCCTTTCCTCTTTCCTTTCCTCTTTCCTCTTTCCTCTTTCCTCTTTCCTCTTTCCTCTTTCCTCTTTCCTCTTTCCTTTCCTCTTTCCTTTCCTCTTTCCTTTCCTCTTTCCTTTCCTTTCCTTTCCTTTCCTTTCCTTTCCTTTCCTTTCCTTTCCTTTCCTTTCCTTTCCTTTCCTTTCCTTTCCTTTCCTTTCCTTTCCTTTCCTTTCCTTTCCTCTTTCCTTTCCTCTTTCCTTTCCTCTTTCCTTTCCTCTTTCCTTTCCTCTTTCCTTTCCTCTTTCCTTTCCTCTTTCCTTTCCTCTTTCCTTTCCTCTTTCCTTTCCTCTTTCCTTTCCTCTTTCCTTTC